ACTTAAGTGTCGGTGAAAGTGGTGGATAATTATCCACCACTGTTCACCTCCACTTAGGTGAATAAATGATCAATTATTTCCAACGGTCTGAGGTACTTTGACCTCACCTCACTCTTGTATGTATGCCTAGTTTCTTTTTAGAATAGCAGGCAAGGTGCCAGCGGAGTAAGTGGTTTTTTAAGAAGGCAGCGAAGTAGCTCCTGGAAGAGTCCATTCCTTTCGCGACAGAAGCTCCCACAACGTCTTTCGTAACTTCTTCAGAAGTTTGAGCTTTCACTGTCGCTTGAGTTTCTAGAGAATTGAGAAGGTTGTCGGTACCTGGTGTTGAACTGTCCGTGAGTTTAAAGGAATAACAAAACTATAAAAAGAAATCACCGTGTACGATGAATTGTAATCAGACACACAATTCCCATTGATAGTTACTGTCAATCAAGATCAATAATTAGTCATGGTGATTACTAAATTTACTTTTCGTTACGAAAAGGAAAAACGTGATACCTTTACAAGCAATTTTCTCTTTTATCGTGTTCTTACCGTTACTTTCAAGGATACCAACGCTAAGATTTATCAAAAGATTTATCAAGAAATTGTCATTTTCTACAGCTGACTAACCGTGATCTTACACTATAGTTTTTTAACAACATGGTGAGGCCCATTCTCACTTTTTAAAGTCTGAATGAATTAAGTGAAGACTATCACAGAACCGGCTTAATCAGCGACAAAAACACGATAATAAGTTCGAAACGCTACTATTAGGCCTACCAACCCTGACTTAGAAAGAAACTCCAAGGATCCCGCTTTCCTGTCTGAAGCAAATACGGAAATTATCTTACGGAAATTATGGCATATTTACCTCATGAAATCACGTACGGTAAGCAGCATTAACGAACTATTCAAGAGCTTACGTGCAGAGAAATGGGGTAAAACGTGAAAAAAAAAAGACGCAAACAGTAACAAAACGGGACAGACATATAAGTCACCATTTATTTCACTTCTTATTATGTTGTGAAAGGCAGTAGAAAATAGCAAAGTATATATTTAAAAATAAACTTACAGCGCCGCGGTCCTCTTTGCCGTACGGGAGTTTAGAAATAGTCGTAAGGTTTCACTTCGGTGATCACATTGGCAAATCTGTTGTCAGTTCCTCTTTGGTTTGCTTCCATCAGGTTCCACTTTGGTGTTTTTAGCGCCATTTTCACATTGGTCTTACTGCAGTCAGTCTTTGCCATTTCAAAATAACTTAGATTTGCGGAAATGGTTTTAAAAACTCGAGAAGATATTGATACCTAGTTTCCATACATACTTACATACATGCTTTATTTAGCGTGGAAAACACGATTAGCTTTGTGACCGCTTAATACAGGTTTGCCGCTTTATACAGACTAGGGGTATTGTAAAAGATGATACACAACGCCACTTTATGCCATAGTTGACCGTTTAATATTAATGTACCCAAAAAAATACTTGAAAGATTATTCTTAGTTTTATTTGAGTGGTCCACTTTAAGTGACTGTTCAAAACAGGTGGGAGACAATACAAACAGGCTGTTGGGACTTTATAAAGAACGATCTTAATACAGATTCGAGCGTACATACATTGTAGCGAAAACTGTGGCTGCCAGTCACTGATTTCCGGAACTACTTTAAAAGTCATTTGAGCCAGGCGCCGCACGAATATCATAAGGTGATGCGTTCCATTGCTTTGTTGCAGTATAACGCCACGACTTTAGTCCATATCTGATAATGTTTACTTTACTGAGATACAGGTAGATTTAAATTTCCCAAAAGGTCAGCCGTTGTATTCTTTACATTTGTTAGGCTATTGAAACTCGGTGGGGCTTTGACAAGTGTTGGAGCTTAAAGACCCTATATCATGGTCTCTGGGCAAGAGCAATCATGCCCAGAACCAGATGTAAAGCCCTAATGGCCATGTTGATCCCGTTGAAGAAGATATATCCCATAAGTTGCGTAAAGTTGAGTCATTTATTGATTATTTTAAATCTAGGTGTCTTGCCTTGTACCAGCCCAGACAAAATTTAGCTATTGATGAGCGGATGGATAAGTCTCGCCACAGGTCTGGTATACGACAGTAAATCAAAGACATGCTCGCCAAATGGGGTATCAAATTGTGGGTTTTGGCAGACAGTTCAAATGGCTACACTGTAGACTTCAATGACCACGTTGGTAGAGCCGCAGGGCAGAAAACTAGTGAATTTAATTAGGTTATGATGATGGTTATGATGAGACTTTTGGCCTTTTCTAAATCAGGGTTACCATTTCTATGTCAATAACTTTTATAAATCGGTCCCATAGTTCAAAGATTTGTTTGCTCAGGGAGTCCTTGCCACTGGTACCATCCTGGAAACCAGGAGAGGCTTTCCAGCTGCGTTCAAAAAGAGTAAGGAATGGGCCAAGGGGAAAAAAAGGGTGACATGCGTTGGGAAAGGATCCTCCTCTTTTGGTACTTCAGTGGGTGGATAACAAAGTAATTTCAATGTTATCAACTATAGATAAAGTTAATTACCATGGTCTGCTCAACAGGAAAAGAAAGGTGGATGGTGTGCGGGACACAAGGGAAATATCACAACCTAAAGTTGTAGCTAATTGCAATAAGTTTATGAATGGGGTTGACCGATCTGATCAAATTCTAACCACAAATAGTGTACCATGTAAGTCCACGAAGTGGTGGGAAACTTTGTTTTACCACCTAATTGACATGGCTGTAGTCAATAGCTTTATCCTTTTCAAAGAGCATAGGGCTTAGTTTCCTGACGATGGTGCTCTAAAAAGGCCCTCTAATTATTCCTTGGGTGATTTCCGGGAAGAAATTGTTAGGCAACTCTGTGGTTTCTCCGATTATGGTAGTCCACCCCAGAATACCACGGTGAAATCACCCTCTTCCGCCCCAGAGGAGTTTACAACTGTCCATATCCCAGTTTCCTCTGATACTCAGAGACGCTGTACGGTATGTTATAAAGAGAATAGGGGAGATTTTGGGGTTCGATCTTATTGTAATGCCCCGGCTCAATATCAGAAGTATATTCATGTTAGTAAGGGTTGGGATTGTTTTGCAGTGTTTTATTCTAAGAAGTTCCATAGCTAAATTTTTGGTGTACCATATTTCCCATAATTATAACATTTTGCTAATGTTTTTTCCAATGTTTTCTGACATTGTTTCTCAAAAATATATACAAAAAAAATTTAAATTTAAAAAAAAAGGTATCTTTTTTATACTTTGCTGCTTTTTTCTTTGTCAGAGAGAATAGTTGTGATTTAGTCCTAGTTCTGAGGACTCCCATTAGTTAGAAGGGATGTTAAAAAGGCTAATTCATTCACTTAGTAACACATCAGAACCCACCCACCCTCCTGATAAAAAGTTGAATTTCCCCCCAAACATTTTTTCTGCTAATTTCTTTGAATGACATGACGCACATAAAAATTCATAAAAAATTCATTATTTATTCTTTTTCTATTAGATTTTCAGGAAATGTTGCTGACAAGTTAACAATCTACTTTTTTTTTTTTTTTTATCCATCAATCTTAAATAATCTATACCTATGAGGAAAAGTGACTTTGACCTCAATTTTTACACTATTTCTTATTTATTTTGTCTTTTAAATTTTATTTATCAGGAAAGTCCTGGGTTTCAATGATGAAATTTATATTTTCCTAAGAAGTCCATTTTATACACTTTAAAATGAGATATTGTAGGTGTTATTGCTGTAAATATTTGTTGAGATATAAATTAAAAACTGGATGTGGACAATTTTTGCGTTTTTCCAGCTGCAAATAATCAGTTAAGTTTACTTCAGATGGTACTCCTCTCATTTTACAAGACTAGTGAAGTAAATGAATTGTATCCTCGGTATCGTTACGTCAAGGCTAGGTCAATCTGTTATAACAGCACAAATGTATTACCAATTTACGAAATATGCCTTTACATCCAAAACTGGTTTGCCTTCTTTCTTTCCCGTATCTGTGCTACAAATCCTGGAAGGTTTTTCGGCATTTTTATCTCTTTTGAGTGATATCTGCCTCCTCATGAAAAATGAATATTTCAAACTTGAATTCATTTCAAAAAGGTGATTCTACTGTGTCGCATGTATGACTTGACCCAGAATATCACAGTATACCATCTTTAATCGGCTTGCAATTAATTTTCATCGGAAGAGAACGTGATATAATGATATAAGATGGCCGAAGGGTGACCTTGATCGACAACAAACGTCATACATCACTTAACTTCAGCTAATAACTAAAGGAACTCCATGTAAGCCTCTCAGTCAACACAGAAGAGATATAACCCCGCGGAACTTCCAGAACGGATTTTCAGACAAGACTTACTAGCTCCTTTGCAATTCTGATGATAGACTGACTCTCTTAGCCTAAAAGCACTCCATATATCAAAGTACAATGACGTCCACTTTTGACAGCAAGATATCGACACAATGTGGATGTTCAATTCTCTCGGCACAATTTGATCATAATAAAGATCGATCGGCTTCATTTTTCATTTCAGAAAATGCCTGTAGCTTCAAACGTCTTTGTTGTGTATCGGTAATTGAACATGTATTTAAGAAATTTAGAATAAGCCCTCTTATAAGTTTATGTCATCAAATGCAATACACCCGCTGCATGCTGGTAATGTTCATCACAACGAGTGGACAAATGTTGTGATTCTTCGCAAACTTTTCAAATAAAGAATTCATGATCAAGTATGTTTGAAAGATTTAACTCACCAGTGTTAACGTCAAATGCATGGGTAATCATGAAACGATTAAAGACTACCTGTCTAGTTGATAAGCATGACCTGTAAAGAATGTTTCGTGAGGTTTGGCAAATTGTCTCATTAATCCTTCTTACGTGCGACCTGTGTGTAGGCTTGGATCCAAAGTGATGTTGGGCTTACACCAAGGCCAGGGTCTTTCATTACTAATCGATGCGGGCGGAAGATACAAGTGCACTTAAATTGGAAAAAAAAAAAAAGAAAAAAAAAAAAGGCAATTGGAAAGCAGATCATTTCATTCCAACCCAGGTATTTATGGCCATATAGGTTTAGATTGAATAGTTTTGTAGTTGACACGTTAAAGGGTCTGTTTGGGTTGACTTGCTACTGACTACAAGCTATACTAATCTATGCCGATCATAATGAACTCATGATGACGCCTAAGTTTACTGGAGATGATTTTTGAGTAGCCTTATGATATGTAAATGTCATTCGGTTGATAAGTACAATAACTAAAAATCAGTCTAACGCATGGTTAAGTTTTAAGTTTAGTTTAAACTATGAATAATCAAATTATGACCAAATTCAGCTTTTTCCTCGATGAGAAGGCGAGAGGAATTTAAATATACAGATTGACTAGGTGTTATCTTCTTCTTCTTCAAATTGTTGTGAAAAAACCAGCTTGAGGTTCATTTTCTTGTGTTTTCCATCGGAATGTATTACAGAGTAAGTCTCGTTATTTTGATTATTATACAAGATATGTCCTTTTCATGCTCAGTCGAAGCATGATATTGAAAGTTTCGTTTGAACTTGAGGCTAAAATTGAATTCAATATACTTTGATAGACCATATCAGAAATTAAATTTGTGTTAATGGTACGGCATCCGTTGTTCTGGTATATTTCTAAACATTATAACGTGTTATTCATAACTTTACCTAAGGTCATGGTTTTGAGAGTGTATTTGCATGATTGAACTGGAAGGGAACTATGTACAATAGCTGTGACCAGCTTTTGTTCACGTTCTCATTCTTTAGATAAGAAACCCTGTCGAAATTATATCGACACATGTACTCCCTGAGCAAGATTTAAAAAGAAAAACACAAAATTTCAAGTGCAGTAAAAGTCTGCTATGATATGCCAAAAACAAATTGTTAGCCAAATATTTTCTTCATTGGCCACGTATACCTGATATCCTTAATTACGATGAAACAAAAAACATTTTAGTATTTTGCACCAAATTGTGATTGCTATTTCTTTTCGGTTGGTTTCTAATTATTCTGTAGAATTGTTACTCCTATTTCTCTAGGCGAGAGATAATATTTTATCAGTCCCAGTTATACGGAAATAAATAGTAAATTCCCTGTCGCTGTGAGCTAAATAAGTTCCTTCTTGGGCTAAGCTTCATTGCAAATCCACTGTGTATAAATTTTGGGAGGAAAATATTACAACGTATGAATGTAATTTTGCAGCCTAAAATAATCCTAATCACCAACTTCCATTTTTATCACCCAAAACACATGGAGGTTCTTCGACATGTCGGAGTATTTCAAGCTTTTAAACGTAAGGTATCGATCGTTTCAATTTATGTCTTTCAAAATATATATGATAAAGCTTTCTTCACCTCTAGAGAAGGAGAATAGGTTATTGTTTGTATTTCTCAGGAAAAAAGTTCTCCTTAAAAAAGCTGATATGTAAATGAATACTGTTTAATAAGAATATTCCGCCAAGTTGACTCTCGCTTGTTGCTTTTGCCTGCTATTGTCGAATTAACTGGTTCAATTTTTGCCACCGAATATTGCTTAACGCTCTTTCGACATTACGATCAAATTTAGAATCCTACCTGTTTTCATACTCCCTGTATCATCATTACTTGTGAAAATGTTGTTGCTAGTATTGTGTTTTCTGTTTATCTGTAAGTGCAATGTTTTCTTGACCAAATCCAGCAGAATGTCTCAGTGAGGACAATTGATCTTGTAAAAGAGATTTTTGTTATTTCAATGCTAACTGTCCACTGGACTTAGCCTCCAGGCGTTTGCTTGTGTATTCATGCCGGCCCCAACCAGGAAATTTCTACTTGGTCTTCTTCTCCAGATTTGTTCCAAATAGTGTCACTTGACTTCACACAGTCATTCTAAAAGCACCACTACACGTATGCTACTACTAGAAATGTTTGACGCAAAAGGGACAATGTAGAATAATGTCACAAAGAATTAATTTGACCACCCTTAGACTTCAATTGACTCCCTCAGGTTGTTTTTTCTTCGAAGGAATTGCAAAGGAGTGCAATACTGTTAAGCTATAAAATGATGCTGCATCGATGTCATTATCAGCCAAATTGACAGTAAGCCACGATAAACTTGTATCAAGTATATAAACTCATCAGCAAAGTTTGTCTGCTCGAACTCGTGGTATGCTCATCTGCTATTAATCACGTCAGTAGCTCACAGTAGACGTGAGGTAATGGTAATGTAAAATTTCTTATTTATGTGAAGACTCAGTCAGGTTCACCCGGTAAACAATAGCAATTGTTTTATTACCGTGTCAGAACATGGAGGAAACTTCTATAATTTGTCGAAATTGTGAGCATTTACTTGAATATTTCTTTTAAAATCGCAATGTCATCATTTGAAGTGACCTGTTTATATTTTTAGCTCTTCAGAGAAAAGAGAATGCACATGTTTTGGTTCCACGTCTTTTTTTATTTCGCGTTTTTTTTCTTTTGAAATTCTAGTAGCGCCCTTGTTTTGCCTCCAAGTTGTTATCTCTCCCAAACCGCAATTGTTAACCTTTGTACCTCTAGGCTCAATCCCAAGTTTTAATCAGTACAATGCACAGATAATTTTAATGTCTAGGAGCTAAATCGTGGCAGTTTGATCAAGTAACACTATAGACTATCTTCAACTAAGAAAAAATGTAGAAGAGCAACGTAGCACAAGCAATAATAAATCAAGAAATAAGGATACGGTAAAGGATGGAGAAGATAAATGTAATCAAAGTAAGATTCTGCTGAAGTTTTCCTAAGGTGCACGAGCTTTGTCGTAGATCTGTCAAAAATGTTGAGTACCTACACACCTTTCAGCATTCAAAATGCATCAAAAACGATCTGGCCCGAAACTGGAAATCCAGCTGAAATAAATGGCACCGTTGATTCCTGCTCTAACACTTTTGTTATTAACAAGGTTACCGAGTAGAAACATTTATCTAGCACCAAACTCAGACCAATTTGGGAAGCAGGAGGAGCTTGGTTTTTGAGGTCTAAAAGTCGACTGTTTTTCATGTTCACGCTTTTATGGCGTACCGGAAACCGGGGCAGACGTGCAGGATCCAAAAATATGGCCAGTATGAAGCATTGGGAGGTCATAAGCTGCTTACGAGCCGATTGTTTATTTACTGACATTCAACTAACAATTACTAATTGGTATAGCACGCAATGGACAGAAATCTAACTATTGAAGCTTACTCTGTACTCTCTTATTCTCTAATTTCATCATTGATACGTTTTTACCGAATAAACGTTAACTTAGCCATTATCTGAAAGTAAAGGAGACGGTCATTAGTTATTACTCACACGTGGAATTTGTTTTTCTGGGTGGGGCCGAGAAGGAGGCAATGGCAGTCGCCAACAAAGCTTAAAGTTGTGTAATTCGAACAACAAAGGATATTAGCTACGTGTTGCGTAAATACATTTACATTTCTAGACGAAAGTCTTGTTGGTGCCCCCATATACAATTTATCGCCGCGATAATTTTTTCACTTTGAATGGCCTCCAAGTAAACGTAAAATCTTCTGAGTTACTAACCTGTGTGGCTTTCGTACAAACCAATTCAAACGCGATGTGCAAGGATTTATTATTTCTTTCTTTTCCTTCTAGAGTCGTTAATGCGTGCTGGTAAAAATCTCTCTATCAGTAGGTTGCCGGAAGGCAAATTAAGATTATGCTCTCCACTAACATGTTTCAAAAGTCGGTTTCTTTATCGTCTGCTTTGAAATTAATTTTCCATACACTGATCGATCGCAGAAACCATCAAAGTATCAGAAAAACAGTTTTAAAAGAAAGAGGTACATTCTGAAAAATGGCCCATCATATGCTTCTGTTTCTCATAACTTTATCCTATTTGTGTTCTGCAAATATTAAGATTAGGATAAATGTTTCCTTTTCCCCCTTCAACCATTCTTGCTTTTCAAGCAATACAAAGGAGGAGTTTATTCGTGGGGCAGTCCATGCCTCGTATTGAGTGCTACGGTTGCAAAATAATTAATTAACATCGAATAGCATCGACAGGGGGTGAAAAGAAACTCAGAGATTGAAACGACTGCGGCTTAACAAGTAGTCTGCATGAACTATGCATCGTCATTTTTACTGACCAAAGTCAAACGTATCCAATGTCAATCTCATGGATTTCGAAAACTTCGCTCATAACCAAGAATTATCTTTTCTCCGGATTCTGCCATCAACTTTGCTTCTACTCTAACATGAGTAATGGCGAATTGCATAACGAAGTTTCCAAACGCATCAGTGGCTCAGGCACATGTATGAATGCTTGTGAGCAACTCGAATGTAGAAAAAGTGTAGGGAAACCAAATGCCTCACCCCCGAACATCGATTGGACGATGACATTAGACAGTATAGGGTAATTTAAGACTACTGACTCTACGTTTTTATTCATAAAGACGTTAATATTAAGTGACTTTCCTGTACAAAATCGGTTTCAAAGTTTGATTAGTTGATAAATGGACCTTGTGTCGTCTTCCCATCTCGGCAATGATGTTGATTAACAAATCGCGCTAAAAGGGAAGCGATGGGATTCCGAATAACAATAGCAATAGCAAATGTTCAATAAACAGTCATGAAAAGTGGCTACTTTAATACTGCTAACTGTCTAAACAATTAAAGAAAGGATTCGAATACAAATATACACATTCATGAAAAATGTAAAGGTATAAAATACAACAATGTCAAAACTCACGATAAACACAATTTTAAAATAATTAAAATAGGTAATAATGACAAAGATAAAAAAAATCAATGGCCATTCTCCCATTTGTTTACTTTTATTCGTGAACTCTATTCGTTCCTAAAACCATTATTAACCTATAATCATCATGGTTGCTTATGATCAATTTTTGTAACGCGATTAAAGGAGTTATTTCAAGATAGTTTAAGGGCTTTCTCGAAGAGTTAGTTGACGAGTTAAATTTAACGGTGATTTCTCAAGGAAATGAAGGAGGAGGAGGTTCAACATCAACAGGCATGGCGTCAGTGTAGTATTATAGAAGGTCAAACGTCTTTACAGAAAATTCTTTTATG